CTAATACCCATTCTGCATTCAATATGCTCAATTGTCAAAAATGTGTTCTTACAGTAGGCTTGTTCTAATCAGGATCCAAACAAAGTCCATTTGTTGTGTTTCGTTTGTTATGTCTCACAAATCTGATTTAAATCTCTTTCCACCTATATGTTCCTGTCTTATTAACATCCACTGTGTGCAAAGTACCATACCAGTAACAACCAGGCATGAGTTGTGCCTCCAAAGGGTTTCCGGTCATAAGTAATCAATGTCTATAATCTTAGTCCTGATCTCTTACATAACACATTACCATGTGCTGTCACAGACATGATCTCAGCTGGGTGATAATATTGCTCACAACTTACACACACAGAAGCTGACATCCCAGGAACCTGCTCTATACCAACCAGGAACCTGGGGAAAGTCTCTGTAATATCTCTGTAAGTGTTATTGTGGTTATCATTAATATCATCATATAGATTGCGTTAACTGTTGAAAAGTAGGACCTTTAAAAATAATAACTTTCCTACTTTATTGTTCTTAATACTATTATTATTTTCATCATCACCATTCTAGAAACAGTTAATTATCTGCAGTCATATATTAAGCCGTCAGCATACATTAGGTCACTTATTACTCACAACTCTATGAGATGGTGCTATTGTTACTTTTTCCTACAAATAAGAAAAGTGAGGCGTTCTGGAGGCACCATTGCTGCTGCTCTCAAGACCGCAGAGGCCACTGCTGACACCAGGAAGAGCCAGAGCCAAGGCCCACAGGAGGGAAGAGGTGAAGGAGGAGCTTGTCAGTATTTAAACAGACCACACAATGAGTGAGTACAAGCTAGTGGTCCTTGGTTCAGGAGGCGTGGGGAAGTCTGCTCTGACAATTCAGTTTGTTTAGAAATTTTTGCTAAAAAATATGACCCAACAGTAGAAGATTCCTACAGAAAGAAAGTTGAAGTAGATTGCCAACAGTATATGCTCGAAATCCTGGACACGGCAGGAACAGGGCAATTTACAGCAATGAGAGATTTGCATAGAAAGAATGGCCAAGGGTTTTCACTAGTATATTCTATTACAGCTCAGTCCACATTTAATGACTTACAGGACCTGAGGGAACAGATTTTACGGGTTAAGGACACAGAAGATGTTCCAGTGATTTGGGTTGGCAATAAATGTGACATGGAAGATGAGCAAGTAGTTGGCAAAGGACAGGGTCAGAATTTAGCAAGACAGTGTGTAACTGTGCCTTTTTGGAATCTTCTGCAAAGTCAAAGATCAATATTACTGACATATTTTATGACCTAGTCAGGCAGATCAATAGAAAGACACCAGTTGAAAAGAAGAAGCCTAAAAAGAAATCCTGTCTGCTGCTTTAGGCCCACAGTGAGCAGCAGCTCTGAGCCGGATTACAGGAATGAAGAACTGGTGCCTAATTGGAAAGTGCCAGCATTCCAGACTGCAAAAATTAAATCCGAAGCAGCTTCTCCTGTTTTATATATTATGTGAAGAATTTAGATCTTATATTGGTTTGCACAAGATCCCTGGAGAGAAGAAAATTGCTCTGTGTATGCCTCTCAGAAAATAAGACGATAGTATTTCTCCTTTGCAATAGCAGTTATAACAGGTGTGACTCTAATATGATTATACAAAAGAGCATGGGTGCATTTCAGAAGTTAGATATTGCTACTATAATCAAATGATTTCATTTTGACCTTTCTATCATGATTCCTCCCGACAGGCACTAAACGTTGAACCATGATACATTATGTCTATAATGATATAGATGATGAAATTTCCCCTCAAACTCATTACAGCAGATAACTTTTTTGAGTCATTGACTTCATTTTATATTTAAAAATTATGAAATATCATTCTCTCATTATATTCTAAGTAAAATTGTTTGTGCATAATGCTTTGGGAAAAGGGTCTTTTACGGGGAAAAAACTAGGATGACTGATTCCTATGGTTTTCAAAGCTAAAATATATAATATACTAAACCAAATCTAATAATGCTTCATGTGTTTCACTGTCAGATTAACTACAGCTTTTATCATTTTATAAATGATAAAGTTTAAGTACATTTTCCAAAAAAAAGTAAGAAAACTGAGATTAGGGAGTGTCAATGACTTGCTCAGGGATCCACAGAGAGCGGAGGGGCTACGATTCAAACCCAAATCCCTCTGTGATATGTTTGAGCTTGCAGCCACTCTATTAGCTATGCAGTGCACAGCTTAGGGTGGGATATTCAGTACATACTCAGGGGGCTTGTGTAGAGTAATTAATTCAATGTCTACTTCTCTCTGTAATCCCCAGAGTTCACTTCCCCATGGGTGGCTCCTACCCCTGGAACAAATCCAACAGGAACCCCAGAACACAGGGCCTGTGAGAGTGGCTCTTTCTCTCCAGGACACCTCCGGACCTAGCCAGCCTCTAAGAAGGAAATCCCAGGAACTACTCCTGTGTGGTCAGTTTGAGGCCATGGGGCCTGGCTGTTCTCTGGTGGATGCTGGGAAGTGCTGCCCAGTTCCCTTTCAGGAAAGATGTGACCCAGTTCCTGGGAGTGCTGCTAGCTACAGGAATGGCCTCTGTCAATGTACACAAGGTCACCTCCTCTCCTTGGGGTGGCTGGCATCCAGTGACTGACTGGTGTAGTGGTATAAAGCACCTTCTCCCATTCTCCCAGTATGGAACAGCCTGGAGGGTCATCCCCACATCAGAAGTCCCACAGTCAGCTGTGTCCCTTGTGATTATATCACAGCCCCGCTTGTCCCTCTGCCCATTCCGGCTTCCTCCCTTTCTTTGCCCTGCTTGACCCAAGAACATTTCTGAATAAACTTCCTAACACTATTCTGCATCTCAAAACCCGATTTCAGGGAACCCAACCTACAGTAGTTCCTACAGGACCTTGAGATCATGTGGGGGTCCCAAGTAACCAGGCTTTTTTTGTGTTTCCAGGCTGAGCTCGCCTCCGAGAAGTGCAGAGGTGAAAGAGAAGCAGGACATACAAAAGTATAAGAAAGGAAAGCATAAGAAACATCAGCTGATCACCAGCAATCGGTAAAGGGGGAGACAAAGACTTTGCTCAAGCTGACCCAGGCCCAGGGCTGACTCCTAGAGGCTGGGCCAGAAGTGGGGTGGGGTGGGGTGAGGCTGGAGGCAGAGACAGACAGAACAGGAAGAAGCCAGGAAAACACAGCAGCCAGAGGGAGACGGTTTGTTTCTTTGTTTGGTGAAAACAAAATGATGTCGCTCCTCTATTTAAAGCCTTCTGCTAGAAGATAAGGAAATGAATAAGTGAAAAAAAGTGAGTGGGAAAGCAACAACCACGAGGAGGTGACAAAGACAAGGAGAGAGAGCTTTGGGGGGGAGGAGGGGATCAGGGCGGGAAGATCACCCTCACTCACCCTTCACATATGTAAACACCCATGTACACAGCCCAGCTGAGGGGAAACCTTGAGAATGCACCTTCCTCTGGGGCATTTGGTATATTTCGACTTGTGACAGCAAAGTGCACTTAGACCCTGGTTCTGACTGCTCTGCCTCACCTGGCATGGCAGGGAATGGTTCCTAGGCTTAGGAGGAGCCATTCTTCAGGGAACGATCAATACCTCAGACCCACAGTGTGTTAGGCTCAGGACCAATGACACAGACCCAACACCTAGGAATTAAGCCAGGAAGAACACAGGCCCAGGTGACCAAAGGCATGAATCCTTGTGCCTGGAATCAGCCTGAATGCTCTGATGGCATATTTGAGTCCGTCCAAGGACCTGACCTGAGTTATGAAAGGTGGGAGGGCTTAGCTGGGCCGAGAGTGGGTAGATTCCTGGCAGAGGTAGAGGCTCTGATCTCTGCTCCTTTGAGGAATGGAAGGAGGCCAGGGACCAGGAACACTGCTACTCAAGTGTGGACCATGGACCAGCAGTGTCAGCATCAGCATCACCTGAGAGCTCATTACAAATGCAAATCTCAAGCCCCAATCCAGACCTGCTCAATCAGAATCTGTGTTTTGACAAGGCCTCTGAGCAGCACTGGATCAGAAGTGAGTGAGCAGGGAGAGTGGCAGAGGTGGGATTGGAGCTCAGGGGTGGCAGGCATTTGGGAGGACAAAGAGGCATTGGGCCATGTTAATAACTTCTGCTTCTACCTGAAAAGCAATAAAGAAATATTTCAGGGTTTCAGTAGCTAAGTGATGAGTGAGGTTCAAATTGAAGACCAGCTGCTGTGTAGAAATGGCCTATAGAAGAACAAGAGAAGAAGAGGACACCTTTAAGGGGAGCATGCAGTGGTTCGAGAGACAGATTCCAGGGCCTTAGCAGGAGGTGGAGGCTGTGGAGGTGGAGAGAAGGGACTAGAAAGGAGAGCTATACTAGAGCCAGTGACAAGGTGGCCAATCAACTCTCAGAGGGAGCCAGAAGGAGCCAGGACTACATCCCAGTTCCTGCATGGATGGAGGGGTGCATGGGGGCCCTCACAAAGTCAGGGTCTATAAGAGAACATCAGATGAAGGCAATGAATTCCAATTCAGATGGGTTGAAATTAAGTGGGGATGTCACATAGATAGCCCCAACTTCTTCCAAGATCTCAGGGAGAATGACCAACTCTGTGTCTAGGAAGCCAAGTGCAACGATCACTAAGATGGTCCCAGGTGGAGGACAGATGCGTGATGGCCCATCTCCACCCCACTGGCAGAGATCAGAATCAGGTACTTTGAAGGGGCCAGACTGGGAGCATCATTAATTGAGACAGGGGTGAGATGGATATGGAAGGCCATCCCCTCCATGCTCCTGCCTCTGGGGTGAGCCATGGCAAAATTCACAACTAGAGAGGCCTCGCTCCATGCAAGAGCTTCCACACCTAGAACCTGGCAAGATCTCTGGTTCCCTCCCTCCCAGGCTCAGGGAATGAGGATG